CCCTTAAGTTAGTACCCCTAGCTGAATACCCCTATTTGAAATGGATGGGACCATCGTTAGAAAGTATAGATGATATTTCAACACACAGACATGAGTCAGAAAGATGATAAGTAAACCTATTTTCTATATAAAGGCAATTAATAGGAGGAAACTATCGATGAAAATAGTTAAACGAAGCGCTCTCCATATATAGATTACGAATACAAAGCCTACAAACAAATTTTAAATCCAAATCCAAATTGGAATATTGAAGCAGAGAGGATGTGATCATTACAAAAGTATAAAGCATAGACAAAACAGCCAATAGCTTCTGCAATAAACACGAAGGAAGTCGAACTGGAACCTAAACTTTTAAACCACAAAAGTCATGATGAAAGATTAAATGGAAGTAGAATTTGTTGCTCTCAGCTTAGTAAATGACCAGAGTAACACCCTGAGCCTAGATTCACGAAAGCACTTACGCAAGCACTTACGAACGTGTACATCTTTCCTCAATCTTTGACGGCTTTGGTTTCATTTATTAAACAGTTTACAAGCATGGAAACTTCCCATTCAACTGTTGTTATTGTTATAAACAGCCTCCTGGTGCTTCGGAGCTCATTAACTGTTTAATAATTGGAAACAAAGCCGCCAAAGATTGAGAAAAGATGTACAGGTTCGTAAGTGTTTGCGTAACTGCTTCGTGAATCTGGGCCCTGGAGATTATGTTGTTGTTGCTGCTGCCATTACAAGGATCAACATTAATCCAAGTTATATATTTATACCAATAGGTGATCACTGACAATATCTTACCAACCAGCTACAACTTTTGGTTTTTCTCCGTCATTGTCGAAGTCTCTGTTATCTAGGTGTTGCATTATACAACCTCTGTAACCTGGGTGCATGATTATACCTCTGTAACCTTGGTGTATCATTATGCACCCTCTGTAACCTTGGTGTATCATTATACAACCTCTGTAACCTGGGTGTGCCATTATACAACCTCTGTAACCTTGAAGTATCATTATACAACCTTCGTGAACTTGGTATATCATTATACCACCTCTGGAACCTTGGCATATTATACAACCTGTGTAACTTAGGTGTATAATGAACTTTAGTAAACTTGATGAATTATTGTACAACCTCTGTAACCTTGGCGAATCATTATACAACCTCTATTACCTAATGGCTTCAACATAAGTGTATTCATTACAGCTCAACAACCTCATGGCCTCATCATACTTGATATTATTACCATTTGCCAATGGGAGTAATACGTAGGATATTTCTCCCATTTCCATACGGTGTGTGTGTATGTTTTTTTTATCACATGAATGACTTCAAACAGAATTCATCGCCTTATTTGTTTTAACTTTCTATTGATTTCATGTAAATTACGTGTTTTGCCGAGGGGCCTTTATGTATCTTTAAGTTTGCTATTGATTCATGTTTGGTGCTTAGTGAGTGTGGGGTGTATACGTGTGTGTAATCATCTAGTGTTATGCTTGCGGGGGGAAAGCTTTGGCTCTTTGGTGCCGCCTCTCAGCCACCAATCAACAGGTGTACAGGTTCCTGAGGCTATTGGACTCGGTCCTAATCTGTATCTAAAACTGTGTATGAATCCAGCCTCTACCACATCACTTCTTAATTCGTTAAATTTGTAATCTCTTCCGACACTGAAAAACCAATTCTAATGTCTTTTGTGGCTTATTTGGGGACTTAGTTTCCACCTGTTTCCACTTGTTCGTGTTCCGTCCATGTGAAAAAGTATTCACACTCGTACCCACACAAGCACCTATACACGCCCCCATACACCCACACCCCCACACACATCCACACCCACACACATCCACACCCACATCCACACCCACACACATCCACACCCACACACATCCACACCCACACACATCCACACCCACACACATCCACACCCACCTACAGTTTCAAGTGTAGATATGATAGAGCCCAGTAAGCTCAGGAACCTGTACACCAGTTGATTGACAATTGAGGCGGCGGGACCAAAGAGCCAAAGCTCAACTCCCGCAAGCACAAATAGCACACACACTGCAATTTTTCCAGGGGGCATTTCAAATGATAAGGGAAGAAAGGACACAGATAGTGATAGGGAGTGACACTCCTAATAAAGCGGAAATGGAAGAAAATCGAGACACTAATGAAAACAAACTCCATACCTAGAACTGACAGCAGATGGGAAGATGATTGTGGTCTTGTTAATCTCCAATCCTCCACGAAACAGTAGAAGATCTTCACATAAATATAATTACAAGCCATGTATAGATGAACTGCAGAGAGCAGCAACAGCTGCTCACAGAATGAGAGCGAAACTTGCCATGGGAGACTTCAGTCACGGAAAGATCGATTTGAATGAAGGAATCCCCATGGTGGGAAAGTAACATGGGGAGCAAATTTAGTAGACGTTACAGACAGGAATTTCCTATCACATCATATAAAGGAATATACAAAGGAAAGAGAAGACGATACACCGAGCCTTTTAGACCTGGTTTTCATTGAAAAAGAGGAAGACATCGAGAATTTGGAACATGAAATAAAACTAAGAAGTTACAAAGTTTTCATTTATCATTCGAGCCGTCGGAAAATGGAGTAAACTGAAGTAGCAAGTTGAGGAAACAAACTTTATTTATAAATTGAAAACAAAATATGATAAGTAAATTGTACAGGAGTTATTGATTTAAACATTTAGTGGCTAGAAAGATGGGGTCTAAGAGCCAATACTCGATCCTGCAGCCACTAATAGGGAAGTAGAACACACACACACACACACACACACACACACACACTAGGGACACAGGTGGAAACCGAGTGCCCAAATGAGCCACAGAGATATTAGAAAGAACTTTTTTACTATCAAGAGTGGTCGACAAATGGAATGCCTTAGGAAGTGATGTGGTGGAGGCTGACTCCATACACAGTTTCAAGTGTAGATTTGATAAAGCCCAGTAGGTTCAGGAACTTGTACACCAGTTGATTGACGGTTGAGAGGCGGGACCAAAGAGCCAGAGCTCAACCCCCGCAAGCACAAGTAGATGAACACACACACACACACACACACACCCCATACCACAAAAACTCAACACCAGCCAGCCCGCCGTTAGCGTGACTTCTAGTCGTGATGAATCCAAGGAATCTTTTGCATTCTTTATGATCACCAGCCCAGGCGTGGCCCGCCCCTTTACTTGACCCTTATCTAACCGCACCTTGTACCTATCCTCCCTACCCTCTGTCCCTTTCTCAATACCCAGCAACACCTCAACTATGCTCCTGTTTCCCATCTCTTCCACTGAGAGATAGTGGGCACCGAACCACTGTATATTAGAATTAACAAAGAATTCAATTTGTTTTGGTACTTATTTTTTATTACAAATTTAAAAAGCATTTAAGCACATGTGAACATGAACACCACGAACGTATATGCATACAAACGTACATATGAATACAGACGTATATATGAATTCAAAAGTATACATACATAAATGTTTGCTTGTAAACACTGACATATATTTGGTTAGCATGTATATTTACATACATTTATACATCAACGAAATCATGAATAATGTATGGAGGTTTGAATTGATTCAATATTTTATACATTATGCAACACCATACCTGAAATACAACACCATGCAAATAATACAACATACGCAATATGCCACACCTGTTTACACCATGCAATGCATACACAGTGCCACGTTTTCTTCACTCTGCAATATCTTATGCATTATGCAGTGAAACCAGTAAACAATGCCATACGGAGTAAACATCATCCACATTAAAAATCCCCCTCACCTCTATGTAGCACCACAATGAAGCATCAGAGGCATTATACAACATTATTTCTACTATTCAGCACAATGTGCATTGCTCAACACCCGTGCATTGTGCAGTATTATCCGCATTATACAACACTCTTCGCAATATGCAGCAACATCTTCGTTATTCAATGCTTGCATTGTGCAACTCAATTCGCATTATGGAATTGCAATCCACATTGTCATGCTTCTTACTGCCTCTCATAGCCAGTAACTCGGGGTCTTTTGTCATCTGTCTCTCTCTCTCTACAGAGCCATAGTGCCTCTTCCTTCACAGCTCTAAGTCAGAGTCATGTTACCCAGAACTGAACAGTGATTGACAACCTATAGGGGATGAGGAACACTAGACAAAACCATCACCAAATGTACTTAAATACATTATGTTTAGGTAAATATTTACATGAAACACTCACTAATGTTATGCACACACACACACATATATGCAGACGATACGTCACAATAACGTGGGATGAAGATATGAAGGCTGAACCACACACCAGTTGAGACGACGACGACGACGTTTCGGTCAGTCTTGGATCATTATCAAGTTGATTTGTGATAGGAGCGACACACACATTATATATATGTATGATGCGCTACTTTTCATAATACCTTGTAATTTGTACGTTGGGGGACCATAATGTAGAAAAGAAGGCACATTGAGAGCGAGTGATGGAAGGTCGAGGCAGGGAGCTACCCTACCATACAAGACACCTTCCAGAGTATCTTGGAGTGTGTTAAGACATCCTGTGTGACCATATAATTCTCATCTTGTTATCTAGATAATATAATTATTTGACTACTGATATAATTATTTCTTGTGTTATCATTTTTGGGGGGTTTCTTAATAGTCATGATTAGGGGTTGTAGTGCATGGAGCTCAATGAATTTTAAGTGTTGCTATGTACTTGTCATTCGTATATGATGCAAGTGGAAAGTGACATTCTTTGACCTGGCAGTGATATGACATGCTGACATCAGGAAAGCTGACGTGTGACACTTTCATGTTGTACAGTAGCTTATGGCATTTGACACGTGAAACACTGTCGCTGACACACTGGGCAATGACACGTGAAATATTGCATGCAACACACTTGAGAGCTTTGCAATATGTAAATTAACAGTCCGGTGTTAGCAATGGTCAGTAACGTCTTGTTTCTATTATTTCAGGCGGGCGCGGTAAGATGGCATCTGCGGCACTGAACAGCGGGCTGCTGGAGGCACTGGTGTCACGGGGGACGACACCCCACGCTGGGAGGGACGCCCACGCCCTCCCTCCCTCCCCAAACACCGCCGGCGACGACACCGCTGCACCCCATCACGCCTACCTGCACGCCCACTTCCAGGCCGTCACCTCCCACTACTCCTCGGGGGGCGACCCCCACGACATGTCAACCTCCGGAGGTGACGCCACGACAGAAGACGAAGAGACCAGCCTCAACGACCAGCTCGCCCACTACTACAGCAAGGCACTGGGCGACGACCACCTTTCCGTCTCGGCCAAGAAGCGACGCAAACAGAGCAAGCCGGTGCGCCTCCCCACGCCCCACGGCGAGACGGGCGACACTCACCAACAAACGCCAATTAAAACAGAAGAAACGCAGTTCGATTCCGAAATATCAAATCCCTCACCGGAAGCGGACGAAAGCTTCACGTGTCCTCACTGCCACCTGCAAATGTCCTCCGACGACAGCATCAGACGACACATTATCGAGGAGCACATTGGACGTCTCCTGAGCGACGACGAAGCCCGCCAGCAGCAGCTGCGACAAGAGCAAGAGAGCGCAGAGCGACTCAAGAGTGAGGAGAGGGCCACACCCCTCAACCTCTCCAGTCCCAGGTGGGAGGGCGGAGGGCCGCCCAACAGACCGCACGATGACCATGGAAGTAGCCCGCCCATCTCAGTTCCTATGCCACCATCTTTCGGAGATATGAAATTCTCTTTACCCGGCCTCTTGCCGTTAGGTCCACCTCATTTTCTGTTGCCGTTCCTGCAACATGCGGAGCACGAACGCCTTTCAGCGGGAAGTCATCCCCCAAAGAATCCTTCACCATCTTCCTTAGCCAATAGTCAGCACCATCGAATCTTTAACCAACAGGCGTATTGCGATCTCTGCAACAAAGAATTCTGCAATAAGTACTTCCTCAAAACTCACAAAGCCAATAAGCACGGTATATATTCTCCCGAGTTTAGCAGCTCTCCCACGGGCTTGGCCTCTGGTCACTCCACTCCTCTGGGTCCCAGTGTATCCCTGGCCTCTCCGATGGGTCCCAGTGTTCCTCTCGCATCACCCATGGGTCCTAGTGTTCCGCTCGCTTCACCTATGGGTCCTAGTTTCAGTGCAGGTGGCCTAGTAGGGTCTCCTTATGCTGGAGCCTTCATTGCAGCTACCATGAGCAATTTCCCGCTGAGACCGCCACTTCTGTCCACCCCTGCTAGTGTCAGCAAACCCATGCCCATGGTAAAGACAGAACCTAGCAGCAGCAGCAGTAACAACAGCAAGCCTGGAGGAGTCATTAATCTGGAGGCTTATTGTGAGCTGTGCCAAAAGGAATTTTGCAACAAATACTTCTTAAAGCGTCACAAGTCGAAGATCCACGGCATAAGCATCGATGTAGTAACTAAACCCAAGAGCCCTGGTCAGGTGCTCGTCCGAGTGGCGCCAGATAGACCTGAAGGCTGGTGCGATGCCTGTAGGAGGGATATCGGAGGGCGAGCAGCACTCAACACCCACAAGTTGCAAGCCCACGGACCCCACATCGTTGCTCCTCTCCCCTCACCCCATAGCACCTCTCCTCAGTCTGCAAGAAACCCAAGAACTCCAACACCTAGTGAGGGACGCAAGCACAGTCCAGATCGCAGAGACCCCAGGGAGTACTTCAGTCCATGGGAGGCACTGAAGGAATCTCGAGAGCAAATACGAGAACTCTGGGACTCTGGAAAAAATATTGGGGAACTTACTAGAGAACCAAGGGACCAATCAAGAGATACGCCAGCACGAAGTCCTTGGGAAAGGCCCTTGGGATCACCCTGGGATGCTTTAAGAGAAATACCTAGAAATGCTGAGGGATCAAGAGAATCGATGAAGGAAAACCATCAGAGTAGCGACTCTTGGGGTAAACAGGAACCCCATAGCAGCAATGAGCAGTACAATCAACGGGAAGAACGGGACGAACCTCTCCCACACCTCGATCGGTTAGCAGAGTCCTCGCATGACTTTCCCCTCGACGCACACGACATGCAGACGGTGCGGGAAGAGCAGCAGCGGGAGTGGGAAAGGCAACAACAACGAGATTTGGAGCAGCATCATCGCGAACGTTTGCAGCAACAATATTTAGAACGTGAACGGCAACACCGTGAACGAGAGAGGGAGAGAGAACTGCAACAGAGAGAACGTGACCAATGGGAACGAGAGCGACAACGGGAACGAGATTTATATAGAGAACAGCAGCTGGAACATGAACGATACGAACGTGAACAACGGGAGAGGATGCTAGGTAATCAAAAACATGACCATGAGCAAAAAGAGGAAAACAAATCTGCTAGTCAGGCTGAAAGTTCGTTGGAGCAACTTTATCAGGAGAGAGAAGAACAGCACTCAGAACAACAGAATAGTGAGGCAGAGAGTGAACTTGAGAAAGGAGAGCGCACCAACTTTAAGGAAATTACGGAAGATTTTAAGGAAAAGGCTCATATTAGTATCAAACAAGAGCCTGAAAGACAAGAAGAGGAAGGCACAGAGAGGCGGGAAGAACGACCAGAAAGTCGCCAAGGTCTAAGAATTCACGAGGGGGAAATGCCCGATAGGGAAAAAATCTACGAACGGCGAGAAGGGCCCGCTGGACCTGAAGTAGACCCTGAAGGCCGTGAAGGAAGCCTCGTGGGTCTCGACAGTAGTCTTGAGGGCCGTGAGGCAGGACCAGAGGGCCGGGATAGTGCTCGAGACCCTATTCGTGAAGGTCATCGAACTCCCGGGGGAAGCAGCGCTGATGAAAGCTCCCGAGACACTGGCATTATTGCCCGGGTGGGTCAGCCGGCCATGGTGCAGGCGCCTCCAGGGACCAAGTTTACACATGAGCAGCTGCGTCAGTTGGGAGTAATCAACCCCGACGCTTTCTGTGAACTCTGTTGCAAAGAGTTTTGCAACAAATATTTTCTCCGTACACATCGAATTAAGAAACATGGCATTTATACCCCTGAATTCTCTGACAGAAGCAAAAGTCAACAAAAGGAGAGCTCCCCAATGAACCTAGCTCGACTACTGGAGCGACAGGCCCTTTATGTGCGTCCAACACTACCGGACATGGAAGGTGACCTTGAATGTGATTTATGTCGTCGTCCGTTCCCCAATCCTTACCTACTACAGATGCACAAATACTATTTCCATGGATCAGGCCAAGAAGCTGGACAAGAGCCTCTTTCTTTTCACCCACACCAGTCACCGCACGAGCAGCTGCGACAACTTGCGCTGCATGCTCAACAACAGGCTAGACAACAGCAACAGCAGCACCAAAAGAGACTACAAGAACAGCATAAGCAACTAGAGTTTCAGCAGAGGTTATTGAAGCAGGAAGATGAGCAGAGGGAGCAGGCTCGACTGGAGCTTGAGAGGCCACAACAAACAGTTAACTCGGATGAAGGTCAACCAGAGAGGGCTGAAGATGTGCCCCGTCCCTCGGTGATCGAATCTGCTGGCTCCGGGGAGTCCGACGCCAGCGAAGACCTCCGAAAACTTCAATCTATGATACTCCAGCTGAACCGTCAAGGAGAAATGGGTCTGAGATGTAGGATGTGCAACAAAGACGTCGGTAACAAGTATTTTCTTCGTGCGCACATGATGACTGAACATGGGATTCTGGGGAACGAGGAGGGCTCGGCGCCTTCCAGCGAAGGAGCTCAGACTCCAAAACCCCCAAGGGAAGCCAATCTAAAAGCATCACCTCCATCCACACCTACCTCAGGAGAAAATCAAGCGTTTTGTAACATCTGCAAGAAAGACTTTTTCTCCCGGTACATCCTGCAGCAGCACCTCCTCAGCACCCACGGGGTGTTCACGCCACCCGCGCCGCCCACCTCCTTCATGGAGCGAATTAGGGCGGAAGTAGAGAGTCGAGAAGAAAGAAAACCTCAGTCTACCTCTCGATCCTACTGTGAAATATGCAACAAAGAACTGTGTAATAAATACTTTATGAAGACACACATGCTTAAGATGCACGGCATCAATGTAGAGAACGGGGTCTCAGGCGGCGTGACTTGTGACCTGTGCAACAAAGAACTGTGCAGTAAATATTTCCTGCGCGTACACAAACAAAACACTCATGGAATGGTCGAAGAAGGACGCGAGGGAGACGAAGGAATTGTTCAGTCCGAGATCGAATCCTGTCCTCTGTGTCCTCGGCGTTTCAAGAACCGCAAATGGCTCAAGACTCACTTGACGAGCGACCATGACGACGCCGGCAAGGAAAAGTGGCGCGAGATTGAGACTTCATTGGGCTTAGAGGAGTCGCCGAAGAAGACTGGGCCGACGTGTGGCCTGTGCGGTCTTGCCGTGCCTGATTTGGTCTCTCTGCAACTGCACGTCATCAAGATGCACGGCTCTCCAGACGCATCTATTGACACCGACCTACAGACTGCAGCCGAGGATTCCAAGACCCGAACCCTGCAGTGCTCCATATGTCCTTTCACAGCACAATCACCAGCATTACTCATTGCCCATGCCCGTACCCACGCCCGGGGCATGCCGCCCTTACCGGGTGTTTTAGGACAGACGTTTCCGTGTCCGCTGTGTTCACAAGTATTGCCAGGGCTGGAAGCCTACCAGCACCATCTTCTGCAGCATCAGCTTCAGGGTCTTCTGAAGCCTTTACTCGAGAAAGAAGTGCACTCAGCAGAGCCCGAAACCTCTGAGCCCCTCAAGGTGTCAGCGGGGACGAGCGATGAAGCCCCGGCGCCCGCCCCGGCCCCGAAGCGAAGGAAGCGCTGGCGATGTTCTCAGTGCGGCCGTCGCTTCAGGTCACGTGCGCTGTGTCTGGCGCACGTGCACGCCACGCACAACCCCCGCGCACGTGGCACCTGGCTCGGCCGTCCACCTGTCCACCGCCGCCTTTTCAAGTGTCGGAAATGCGGCGCAGTGGCGCAGCGCCTAGCGGCGTTGCGCCAGCACATCCGGGAGCAGCACCGCGCGGGTCCGGGCGTGCCGACCACCCACGCCACGCCCACTAAGCCGCAGTCAGCGGGACGTTTCGTGATGCAACCGTTCCTAATGAACAATGAGGGATGTGAGGGAGGTGGCGGGAGTGAGAGGGAGGAGGAGAGGCAGGGTGAGAGACAGTTCGTGCCCTCCTTGGTGTACCTGCCCGTGGCCCGCCGTGTCCATCGGCCCCTCACCGTGTCCTTCAGCCTCACGCCCGCGTGAGCCCCACGTGGCCACTGGGCGCTCCACTACTCAGGGTCTCGCTCTTCTACAAAGTACAATCACGGGGCGGACTGGGCCCTCAACTGCACTGCTGAGGGCCCAGTCCGGCGGGCCGCGGGGCCCCACTCTCCTCCCCTGCGCACGGGTGCTACACGCCCGCCGCTGTGGGCGCTCTGACGCCCATGGTAACGCGGGCGGGATGATTTGACGCGGGCGGTGCTGGGCGTGGCTCGCGGCTCGCTCCGTACTCTCCTCTATATCACTGTACCTCAGTACTAATCAAAACCGGGGGACAGCCCACTACCCACGGCTGCGCCCTCGGGGCGTGGGCGTGGGGGCGTGCGGTCCGGGTTGTGAGGGCGCGGGCAGGGCGGGGGTGTTGGTTGTGATCAACACAATGCTATATTAGGTGGCCTCCACCAGCTCCACGCGATTCAAGCACACCCACCCACCCAACACTGGTCACTCATACTTCATCATCCACCACGCCCACCCTCATACCACATCACCCACCACGCCCACCCTCATACCACATCACCCACCACGCCCACCCTCATACCACATCACCCACATATCATTCTCCGTGTGTTATTTGATGCCCCAAGTCTCATCATCTCACGCTATCTCACGTAATCATGTGTTCTGTGAGATGAAATGTTCACAGATCTTGTCACTCAAGTCTAGGGTCTCTCTGTGGCCAGTGCTTCTGTCTCTCCTCTGTGACCCATGTCACTGTCTCTATGTCCCAGCATCTTCATATCTTACACATTACCTTATATGTTTAGCTATATATTCATACATGTAAACGCGTCTAGCTCTCTCCTTGGTACCTGGCAGCTGATTATCTTACGTTTATATTCTCTGATTTTTATATCATCTTGGTATACCTAGATGCTGATAATCTCTTCTAGGAATATCTTGATACTAATTATTTTATGTAGCAATACCTGGATGACGGTTATCTCGTAATTATCCCATCTAGACATACGTGGATGCTAATCAGCATCCAGGTATTTATAATTGAGATAATTAGCATCCAGGCATTGCTAGATGAGATAATCAGCATTCATATTCAGCATTCTTTCATATTCATAATCAGCATTCTTTCATATTCATGATCAGCATTTTCATATTCGTATTCAGCATTCTTTCATATTCATATTCAGCATTCTTTCATATTCATATTCAGCATTCTTTCATATTCATGATCAGCATTCTTTCATATTCATGATCAGCATTCTTTCATATTCATAATCAGCATTCTTTCATATTCATCATGCTTTCATAATCATTATAAGCATTCTTACTGAGGAGAAAATCATCATACAAATAATTTTAAATGGGCTATAATCAGCATTCAGCTATTGCTAGATGAGATAACTAGTATCCAGGAGTTACAAAATGAGACTCATTATCCAATTATTCCAATTTGAGATTATGAGCATCCAAGTATTGCTAGATATTAAACCCAGCATTATCTGGATGCTGCCTATCTCATCTAGCAGAAATATATGGATACTGAACTCATCTAGCTATACCTGGATGCTGATTAAAAGCATCTTAATTTCTGGGATAGGACTGTCTTGCCCCGTCTCAAGCTGGTGGAGTGCCTGCCGCCGATAAAGGGGCCTTTCTCCGTCCTAACGCCCGCTGCCCGACCATCAGGGATATAAACCATAGTTCTTCTTTACCTAATGATAATAGCATTACTGTAATATTATAGTGACCTACACACTATATATATATATAATGGTTAGCACTGTATACAGGTCTTTGGAATATGCGTATGAATGTATGTACTGTACGTATGTGTTTATTAATGTTAGATCTATGATAGGTCGTCATTATATGGGATAGGATGAATGTTCTAATTGATGGAAATAATACTTTTATTAACATTCACTAATGAATGTTCTTATGTAAATTATACTCCTACATTTTTGTCCCCTCCTCGTCTATCGAATGCCAAATGACGCCACGGCGTTCTTGTACAGTCTAGCCAGCTTAATTATAGGGTCTTTAGTGGTTTACAATAATATCCATATTAACAAAAAAATTATCGTTGTTCAAGCTGTGTTATTTTTGGCGAGTGTGCTTACGCCTCTTAAGAGTTTTTTTTTGCAAGAGGAGGAGACTGGCATGAAACTATAGACAGGAATTTGGAATGGAACCATTGAGAGCGTTGGGTACAGTCTTAATGTGAAAATAGGTGTTAATCACACGTTCGGCGAAGCTTCTTTGGATACATGTATTAAAGGAGTTGAATTCATGCGATTCATATCAACCTCAGCCTACCCTCCATGTAATGTTTATGCTTGGAGGCAATAGAAGCTTGTATTAAGATGAAAAGAGCCTTATTGAGAGGCAGTGTAAGGTTCAGCGCCAGGTTTGAATTAGGTTTGCATGGCAAGGCCCCTGTCAGTGTCTTAAGTACTGAATATTAGATGGTAAAGATTCGTTGTCAATTGCAGTTTCAATAGCATATTCTGCTTAAACTCACTCCCTGTAATCTCTCAAGGTTACTGGAATGGCAGACATTTGTAAACAAATATGAAATGAAGTTTATCATGTGCTATGTGCCTGTGAAGGTCTTCAATCAGACATCAGTTGTTATGTGCCATATACCGCTATATAGTATATGTCCAGCATATAATATATATGCATATGGATCTGCCACACCCTACTGCAGCATGCATGGTGTATACTGTATTATATATATATATATATATATATATATATATATATATATATATATATATATATATATATATATATATATATATATATATATATATATTTGTGGCATTCCCATGTGGCATGCTTACTATTATATATCATAAACTTTCCTATGCTCCTCATCATTTGCCATGATTTATTTTACTGTAATTGTAAATTGTAAAAAAAATATTTCTTATATATCCCTCTGTGGCATAATAATTGTGTCCATGCCAGGTGTACACAAAACTAAGACGACTCGATACTCTTCCCAGCAGTGAAGGGTCGTCGATACGGATACGTACGCCCAGTGTGGGTCTTTTCGGTCCGTAAAATCTCATTTCTTTCTTTTGCTCAAGCATCTGTATAGTACTTGTCAGTGTAGAGGTTAAGCCAGTCGCCAAAACTAATTAAAACCCTTAAATCTCTGGGGCAAGATTCATGAAGCAGTTACGCGAGCACTTACGAACCTGTACATCTTTTCTCAATCTTTGTCGGGTTTGCTTGTAATTATTAAACAGTTAATGAGCTCCGAAGCTACAGGAGGCTGCTTACAACAATAACAACAGTTAATTGAGATGTTTTCATGCATGTAAACTGTTATACATATGTAACCAAAGTCGTCAAAGACTGAGAAAGGATGTACACGTTTGTAAATACTTGCTTAACTGCTTCGTGAATCTGGCCCCAGGTTAGGAAAACTCACGAATTATCCTTCCATGTGGATGTTAATTCTAGTTCTGTATATGTGTTCTTTCCGAAGCGTATTATAACTGGGACCACGTTTCTGTTAATGTGCTAGCATGGAAAAAATATAGGGCAATAGAGCGCGGTTTTATACGGAAGTGTAATGATCATTGACATTCCGAAGTGTTCTACTGAAGTGGTGCATAAAAAACGGCTTGTGATTGGTGAATTGGAAAGGAGAGGCGGAGCTTAGTCTGCGAGCTATGTTCGTTCGTAAGATGTAACAAGGCAAGGTTCCCATACCACGAATAGTGTGTTCTGAAACTTAAGAGATGATTAGTGTTTATGGTTAGTTATCTCACTTGCGAGTGATCGTGTGGCCAGCTCTCTGATTGGTGAGTGATTGTGTGGCAAGCTCTCTGATTGGTGAGTGATCGTGTTATCAAGCTCTCTGATTGGCGAGTGATCGTTGGTGGAGGAGCTGCCTGGCCAATCAACAATATAAATGATGCAATATAACAAGGAGTTTAGTGATTGCCTTGTACTGCAGAGAAGCCAAATTGAAACAACTTGAAATAACAGGATTTCGGTAGTTGAACCTCTTATATATATCAACATTGAATCCTGTACCGCCTTGACTCACGTAAGACACTATAATGGCCCAAGAGAAGTGTTTGCATCCAAAACCAATGTTTATTTTTTCTTTTTGTGTATATCTTTATTTGTTATGTACATTCCAATATTTTTCTATTACTAACTCCGGGTTATTTGTAATTTATTTTGTAATGCAATTGTTTAAGGCTACATTTGCTTTAAATGGTGTTAGATAAAAAGAAACTTTGTTATGAAAATATGTTGTGGGGCTTTGCCGAGGTGGCATTCGTTTTCTTGCAAGGAGTTACCCCTGACAGCTGTCTGTCTGTGTATGCCTTGCAAGGTGCTCACCAGCACAGTTTAGTGTGTCGGTGAGGTTTAGTACATGCCCTGAAAGTGCCCACTGATACAGTTTTTAGTGTGTGCAGTCAGTTCTCTCGCTCCGACAAGCTGTTGAATATAGAGTGCTTCTTCTTTTTAAAGAGAGCAAACCTGGACCATTTCTCAGTTAACTTCCCAGGGCGATGGCCAGAAATCAGAGAGATCGTCCAAAATGCGATGCTTTAAATGGTCTAAAGCGTCTACATTTTTGACACTCGGATCGATAGTATCCAAATTGCGGTGCTTGACATCTGAGAACTGGCTGCTGTACCCCCTGAGGCAGGTGTGTCTGTGGGTGCCCAGTGGCAGGTGTGTATCTGTGGGTTCCCTGAGGCAGGTGTGTATGGTGCCTGGGAGGCCCCATACACCACCTGTGTGCCATGTACCCGGCTTCCCAACCTATTATTTGTCTAGTCAATCCGGCAAACTCAAAAAATGTCCGCATGTTTTATACCCAAATTATTAGTCACTATAAATGGTATGAAAGAATATTAAGTTATCATTATTGTATGATAACAGAGTTTTAGGTAAAGAGGAAGACTCCTCGAGGGTTTTTCTTCTCCTTGATAGGTGAAACTTCTGATTTGAATTTTCCTGTCTAGTCAAGAGTCGATCATGTTATATATATATATATATTGTAACGTTGAACAATGACCAAAGAAATTGTTTGACCAAAATATTTAATTTTGTTTCTCTTCGTCCTATTAACTTCATTACACACAGAAATCACAATAGCGTGATGCATCATATGAACAAATCCACAAGGGCCGTGACGAAGGCTCGAATGTACGTCTGAGAGGATCCTAGACGCTGTCTTAATCGATTGAGCTACGACATGGTAAAAAGAATTGCAACCGGGAAATCATCCTGATTTACCAACGCTATTCATGCTCAAGTTCATTCTTGAGGAAGTGAGGAGTGAGGTTTTAGCCATAATGTAAAAATCCCAATCGTTCCGTAATTTGCTTTTTTTTTTACCTGTGTGATAAAATAAGGAAGAAATCTTATGTTCTGAAGTAAATATATATAATGTTAAAAAGGCTTCTTGTTTAACATTCAAATAAATATTTTGTTATTTCTGTTAAAGTAATTCTCATATGTTACTTTTTTAATTTGTTAAAAATTACATTATGGATTGAAATGTTCATATTAATTTATATGACTATGCAGGCGATGAGTCACAACAACGTGGCTAAAGTATGTTGACCAGACCACACACTAGAAGGTGAAGGGACGACGACGTTTCGGTCCGTCCTGGACCATTCTCAAGTCGATTGTGGATCGAAACGTCGTCGTCCCTTCACCTTCTAGTGTGTGGTCTGGTCATGAATATGACAAATTTAATTTCAGCGAACAGCAGTACAGTAACCTGAACTAGCACAAACAGTACTTACGTTCAATAACTTTGCTTAACGGGAAAAGTAAGGTCTAATTATATTTTTAATATAATCAGAATAATAGAAGTTTTATAAATGACAAACTAATTTTAACTGAAATATGCTTTGGTACAACATATTCAAACAATCTCATGATTTCTATTTATATAAAATCAAATAATGAGGGAATATATATATATACATTGCTTCTCCTCTCACCATAATAGCGTTATATAATATATGCTTCCTATAATATTGTTGAGAGTTGTACAAGTATAGAGAGCAGAATATAGTGATAATTAAATCAATGCCGTTTATCACACAACATTCAACCTAAATGTGCCCCAATTTATTTACCGAAAAAAGCTTTACAAAGTCCAACAAATACTTTCTA